CCAATATGATCTCATTGTTCGCCATATCCGGCTTAGAATTGTTCCTGTCGCTGTCGAGTTTAAGATATATATCTTATAGATATGAAAATCATTCCGCTGATATTCTGTTGCAACAATCGAGGGCCCACCACAACAGAGATGTCTCAGAGTCCCAATCTTGCCGCATCTTGTGATCCCCAACGACGCGGCTAACCGCACCGTTGGCAATCGGCTCTTGTGCAACCCAGAGACGTGTGGCTGCCCCGTAATCAAAGATTGAACTCGGTTTACTTTGTAGAGGCACCAGTCTAGGAGTGGGCGTTAGCTTTGCCCAGGAAATTCAATTTAGAGCCCCTACAACAGGCCAGGACCTGCCCGACAAGGGTACACGGCCTAGGTGGTCCCTACATAAGGGTTCTTAGGGTAATCCCCATAACAATGGATTGAAGGAATGTCCAGCCCCAGAAAGGCAAAGCCATTTACTTTTATTGCCACGTTTTCTGCTGGCAAATTTCCTATAATTTCCCGCTGCCTGCCCGTCGCGAGCAAGTTCGTTGCCCAAGTCTTTTGTTTAGTTTTGCATTACAAATATTTTGCCACTTGCCCAGGCGAGTCAAAACCACTCCAAACTACAACTGAGACCATGGAGCAGTAACGGATTAACCATTGTAATGTAGTTCAAACAGCACATTCACCCATTAACCCACAATTGCCGGCGGACCTGGGCTTTTCCACAGCTTGCCCCTTTTCCGCAGTTTTCAGTTTTCCATTTCGGCTGGACACACCCAGAGCCGAGTTTCGAACATGATTGTCCGCCCGTCGTCTCCTGAAGATCTATCATATTTGGGCCACAGCATTTTGCTGACCATAAAGGGGTTGCACTGAAAGAAAAGTTTGTTAGGCTTTTGGAAAATCTTTGGTGCTAGATTTAAGAACGGATTCAGATTCAGATCGAAATTAAGCTATTCAAATTCATACTGTAGTTTTACCATGACAATTTACGAGTCTAGGGCCCAGATTAAACTCTCCGCTAATGGGATATACTTTCCAAAAGGTGTTGAGCCAGGAAGTCAACATATTTCGCTTCGTGTAGCACAACTCTGTTAAAAATTCGTGCTCAGTTGGGAGCTCGTTGATCTCCTCCAGATTGCTGGCCAGGGATTATTTATTTTTAAATATTTTAATGATTTTTTTATATTAATGTGGAGTTGTAGGCCAACACCCTCGCGACATAGTTGGTTATGCAAGTCGGTGGTTTTTGTTCTCTCCCTGTAGCTCTTGCTCCTGCTGACAAAAAAAAAAAGCGAAACGCTTTCGAAAGTTGCAGCTGCCGCAGATTGGATGCAAGCCGCAAGTGAGACAGTTCAGTTGGTTACTTGAATACTCGGTTACTCGGCCAACGGAGCTCAGCTCAGCTCTCCACATGACACAATTTGTTAACTAGATTATTATGTAAGGCCCACTCCCTCCCTCCCGCGACCTGGTATCTAATCAAACAACATGCAAGGCGGCTGAATGCCTGCATATGCAAAAATAACAATTAGCCATCATTTCGATGCCGGCAACAAGCGAAAACAAAACCCAAGTCCCCAGTTCCAGCGCCAGCTCCAGTTCATGCCACTCCATTTCAGTCCAATTCAATCCAATTCACTTTGCAGACAGGCGGAGATGATAATTAAATCTGTTGCGTTGATGGGTTGCCAACCAAAGCAGAATTGACATCTTGTAAGCCAAGTTAACAGAGATGGCCATTCGAAGCCATACTCATTAGAAATCAAATGCGGAAGCTACTGGACCGAGAAACCCTAATTTAAATTGAACTTTCGGTGTTTGTTCCCCCCACTAATAGATCATTAATTATATGAAAAACAAAAGCCACACCTCGAATGTTATTTCAATTTCGTGCAGGCACAAATCATAAATAATCGTATAGATAGACGCGATCTTGGCCAAAATTGACGGACAATTCTTACAATCTCAGCTCACTTTCGGTTTCGATATTAAGAGGCAATTCATTTTTGTGTGAGATTGTGTGAGAAACGCCGAGCTCCCAGAGCCGGTGATTAATGGAGCTCCTCCGCCGGCGATCTGAATGGGCCCACATCGGATCTGGGCTTGGGATGGTTCGCTCTAATGGCCAACAATTGTGGCAATCGTCGCTGTAATTAGCCATCCGTATGTATTTTTGCACTAATTGTGTCACTTTTGCAATGCTCTGCCCGCCAATAGTTTATTTGCACAATCGACCGGCTCGACGTGGAGCCTCGAATTGTGTCAAGTTCAGCGCCACTGTTCCGTTGCATGAGGAAACTGGCTTCGGCCAACTGAAAATATGTGGCTTTAACGGATTTTCCTCAGAGTTGCTTGGTCAGTCGGATGGTTGACAAACGAGTTGTGCGTATACGCACGATTCTGTCGGCAATGCAATGAATGAATGAAAATCGTGGCCGGCAACTCACTGAATCGGAATCGGACTTGCAAACTATATGGTCTGGGGGGCACGTGCTCGTTGTCAGACACGCAGTCTGACATTGCCAATAAGTTGGGAAATTGTCATGAGAGCATAGTGGTGGGCTATACAGATTCCAACTTCAAAGTGTGTAGTCCTAATACCCCATCTGACATTTAATTTTAAAAGACAGAGTTAGCTTCAAAATTATGCCAAAAACGCTTATTGCTGTTTTCCTAGACTAACGCCTCGGCTTGGTAGCTGAAAGACTATATTTAATGGCTTCATTACATTAAGGAATCTGGCTACATAAATTGCAACTTTAAGAGCCCGGGGCATTCACATGGTAGAGCGACTCCGGGCAGACACTTCATCATATGCGGAGTACCACATGGCCTTGTCAATGCCGTTTCAGAGGAAAATAATAATAAAACCCGCGCGCATATCTGGTGCAGCAACAGTAAACAATTGCGATTGTCTTCTAGTCAACATGTTGCAGTTGCAAGTAGCAGAAACAATTTTCTCACACAAACGATTGAGTCAGCTTGTGGTATGGCGTTTGATTTTCAGATTTCGGTGAGAAATGCCACAGTCCCCACCCATCCACTTGGACCCGGGCAATTTATGTTACGATTTCAATTCGCTTCTAAGCCAAGATTTTTGGCAAGTGCCTGCGACTTTTGGCCATTTTGAAAGTGCCATTAACACGCGACTGGAACAACTGAATTAACTTAATTAAACGATCAGCCACTTAGTATTTGTTTGGTTTACTTTTACTTTCGTCAGATCTGGTCTGAGCTTGACCCTGAAGCTCCGGCCCGATCGTAAAGTGTTGAGCACTTTAAGCCTAATTATCTGATGGTCTGATGGAGGATTTCCCGTAGAGTGTGAAGTCTGGGGCGAAAATATTTCAAGTTTAAGCGTTTAATTCACTTGCCATGTTGGTTAGGGCCAGCTCAAGTTCGTTCCGCTGTTAGCATTGGACTGAGCTAAGAAAACTATTCAAATGATTCGAAAATTGCATATCAATTCATAAACGCTTTAATTTGGCAAAGGGTGTGAAATATTGGTGTTTTTGATTAATTAATAGGCCGTGGTTTTGATGTTTATAATTTTTAATTATACTACTAATTCTAGACTCCAATAAGTGCTATCAAATAATTGTTAGTTTATGAGCCGCCACTGCCATAAAGAGTGTAAATATTTTGTTGCTGCCACATGGCACTTAAACGCTCATCCATCTACCTCCGCCACTTCATGTTGATTGGGAGAACCCATAATTTTCCGCCAGAAGCTGCCAGTCTGAGCTCCGTGGGAAGCACATGGAGGTGCACACGCCGACACCCGATTAGCCGAGATCTTCGTATTGACATGTTGGAATCATAATTCGCAAATCAGCGCCAATCAAAGCCGACACAAGCAATTTGTCGAGTGCTGAGCAGCACTTTTAATTGCAGCAGAATTTGCATTTAGTCGTGTGTACCTATCCTGCTACATACCTACTATATAGTCTCCATTAAAATCCATATAGTGGCTGGGCAGCATGAATCACTAGCGGGCAGCGGAGGCCGCCGGTGTCGAAGCTCTGCTCGGTAATTGCGAATAGATCGAAATGCATTTCGTGTAAACGTCTCGAAAGAGCAAAATGTGAGGCACAGTCGAAGGTCACAGCTACGTCAGCAGAGCAAGCCCATTCAAAACTGTAATAGTAAAAAAGGTGGATTCGATTCGCATTCAGATTTCAATTCGCGTTCGAATTCGTTCAGCTGTTTAAAATTTTCCCACAGCCCGCAAACGCGTTTAGGCGTAAACTTCTAAGTCCAGTTGGCCAGCTCGGTTCTGGCCAGGCTTTTTGTTCCGTGACTGAGTGACATTAACTAACCAAACATAAAGGCGACCGCCTTTGGAAAACTGTTATATTTTTTCTCTGTGTGCAACGCCCACCCAAAACCGGCTGGCTTCTGGCTTTTCCAACAAATTGCAGTGGCACTTGACCTTTAGCCACACCGACCCCTGGCGGTTGATCCATATGAGCCCGAACATATAAACGGGTGGCGTGATTTGAATGCAGATAGCAAAGGCGGGAAACCTATTATTAATATGTAACACTTTCAAAGAAATATCAACGCCATTCCCTAGTAAGAATTATCTTTCAATTTGTTCCCACAGACTCTGAACGGATATGCAAATCGTGAATAATGAAACGTAAATGGGTCGTATTAAAAGTAATAAGGAACTATTCTTTGATGAAATGTTATACATTAAAATTGTTGTAGTTTCTTTAAACTAGTGTTCACTTGAAGAAGTAAAACTTGGCCTAAACCATTTCCAGGCCAAGCCTAAAAGCCAACTCTATATTTTTACCAGAAATCATATTGCCTCCAAATACCTTTGAATACTTTGTGGTACCTGGAAGATTTTAATGAAGCTATTGATATAAGACTTTTTGGACCTCCTCTAGGTCCTTGAATACCATAATTATATAACATTTATTCAAGAAACTTTACCACATATCATTCTTATTTGGTTTTGGTTTTCGTTTTCAATAAATACGGTTGTGTAATATGTAACTTGGGCTTAATATCTAACAACATTGTGTTGGTTATTATTATTCAAGGTATTTCGAATACAACAAGAATCGTAGATTATACTTTAAGAACTAATATGAAAATACTTTTGTAGGGATGCTGTACATGCAATATAAAGAGAGAAACATCGCAGGAGAGAGTCGGATGTGTGACTGAAACATTTTATAAATACAACATAATTTCTAATTAAGCTCTGTAATGGATACTTCTTAAGGAAATTAGAACAGTAGACAATACTTGGCATTTGAACATGTCCCATGACAAATTCTCATTTTCTTTTTTTAAATTTATTTTACTTTGGCTGTTTGTGTGTTCTTTGGATAATGGTTTCGACCTTTGATCCCTTCAGTACGGGTAGTAGCTGCCGGCGTTGCGCTTGCGACCCATGTTGCAGATCTTGAAGTGGCAAGGCGACATATCTATGAGCCCACGAAAGGAAAAAAATAGTTAGTTTCTCATATTCAGACACTTCAGATTAGTTCATGCAACACTTACATTGTTTACGAACTACATTGGTTGGATCATAAAAACAAAACATGAAAATAAAAGCAAATAAACACGACTATTAGTTACTCATGCTCCACATAGCGACAAAAGAAATTTAATAAATTAAGGAGAAAGGTGAAAAGTACTCACACTGCACATTCTTCTTGGTGTTGTGCTCCTTGAGGGAGTGACTTGGCACCACCTTCTTGGAGGGAACATTGGTCAGATCGTTCACCACGTTGTAACGCAGCTGGTCGCCGGCTCCTCCGTTGTCGCTGAGCTTGTGGAGCCGAGCCAGCAGGCGGGACTCGGTCACGTCCTCCTCCTGGGATCCGAAGTCATCGTAGTCTGCCATCAGAAGAAGATCGCGAAGGGACGGCCACTTGCGGACGAAGGAGGGAGCCCGCTGCAGTTGCTGCTGCTGCCTCTGCTCCTGTTGCTTCTTTTGTGGACAACACAGATAGCTTAGTTTAGCCTTAAAGACTGGTCTGGAGGACTCTTACCAATTGCTCGGCATACACGTTGTTGTCCTCGTTGCCACCCAGCAGCTCGCTGAACAACAGCTGCGTGGTGGAGCGTGGGGGCCGTGGCATGGCGTGTCCTGGCCCGGTGGCGACTGACAGGAGCACAATGACTATGGCCCAGTGGACGTGCGAGCAGCCACAGGTGGTGGTGGTGGGCGGCGTGAGGGCGGACATGTTCAACTGCGGAATAGACAATAAATCAGGATATCAGGGACTGAAAAATCAGCAACAATATTTTTCAACTATCCTGCATGTTAAGCTAATGGGAAGTACTTCCTCTTAAACACTTCATATGCAAAGTCAAGCTATTGAAAGTGTAAACAACAATTCGGCAGGGACTATTAAGCAGAACCCCTCGGGTGACACAACGAACCCTGCGACCACTAAAGCCCCTGCCATCCTGCTTACGCAAAAGGGTTTCCTATTACAAACAACACAATAAATTTTAGAAGGCTGAGTAAAAATATGCGCGAATCGGAGCAGGATGGGGGCAGCCCTCAGAGGCTTTTAACACCCACTCGCCGAGGTGTTGGATACTTCAAATAAGTCACGTTGCAGTTGACGAACAAGCAGCAAGTTGGCAGCTCAATGGAATCTGGGCCATGTTCCAGTTAAAAAGTTTTGGCTTTCTTCATACTTTTCCCCCTCCGTTTGAAACTCGGCCGGCTAAAAACAGCAGGCAGGGCGGGCTTCTTTGAAGCCCAGCTCGTGGATTCAGGTCACATTGCAATATCATCATTTGATATGCCACGACCACGGGTCAGTTTGGGGCTTGGGGTTAAAGCGGAGGAGGACTATCGTAATTGACATTTATGAAATATTAATGCCTAATTAAGCTCAAGCTCTGACGCGGCCAGAATGCTAAAGTTGAGCACTCGGCTCATTATCAAATAAGGAGCGGGCTAATTCGAGGGCGGGGGCCACTTTATGGCTGTTAAAAATTACAAGTCATTTGGGGTGGTTGGCAAATTTATAAAAATGGTTATCCTTGCTGGGGCAAGGGCAGGGCAAGGACGAGCAGAGTCAAGCGAATACCTTTCTCTGGTTATTTTGCTATTTAAAATAAACCCAAATCGCATTTTTTGTTACCGACTGAAGCATATTTTACTGTTCTCGATTGTGATCTTTCGGCGCCCCACGGAGTTTTCTTTTTTTTATGATTATGATTATTATTTTCTTTTTTTCTTTTGCCCTCGAATCTCAAGTGCAGGCGATAAACTTTGGCGATTGGTGTCAGCGACTTTTTCATCTCGATCCGTGACTTACACGCTCCGTGTTTGTTTTTGATGATTGATGTGCTAGCCTAATCGCAGTCAAACGCATTTTTATGGCCAGCTCAGAGCTGATAGTGCATTGGCGATCCCCGATCCCAAGTCGAGTCTGATCTCTCTATTTTAGTACGAGAGTCAAGGCCTAGTCCATCTAGGTTTCATTGAACCCAGGGGCGGAGATTTCCCCACTAGTGCGGGGGAACTATCGCGGGAGGGTTCACCTGTCGCACATGGCGCACCTGTCGAATTTATTTGACAGTTTCCCCTGACGCATCTGCCGGTTATTAAAAAGTATCTGTGAACGGTGTCCGATAAGCGATAACAAACTGACAAAATAAAATACTATGTGCGCGACTTGATTGCCAATTACGAGTATAAACTGGCAGTAAAGAATACAACCTTAAACTAGTTTGATTGGGATTCGAGGAGATTCGGCAGAGATTCGCCTTTTTTTGTTTTTGTATATCATGACTTGTTTTTGTATGTTTGTATGTTTTTCTGGAACCTTTTCCCATTATTTCGTGCATTTCATTAATTTAACATATTTCATGCGCAAATGAAACCTATCTTTTCGAAAATTTCCAAAAGAAATTCCAAATCTGAATCGAAATCTAAATATATTTTGAATACAAACTAGGCTGGGGGTCTCGGCTTTTGTGACCCAAATCGTATCATCAAACCGCGGCTATATAATAATAAATAGCCTGAATATCAGTTGGGTTTCGGTCTTCGTTTATTTGCCCGCCGTAAAGTGCGTCATCGGGGCACGTCATAAAATATCGGACCACAGCCAGTACGAGAGCTAGGAGCTAGTCCTCTTATCAACAACAACATGTTTAAACTTATGGTGACACGCCCTCTTTTCTGGGACCCTACTGGCCGGTAAACAAAAGTAATCTATATCTGAATCTAAGCTGGAATCCCCCACTCCCCGATTTCGTTCTAAAGAATAAAACTACGCAATTAACTCTCGCCGATTCACGAGACTTCCATTGAACGTTTCAAGCTCTACTTTCGCAGAGCCCTGATAAGACGGCTACAATAATTTCGTATATATGTGGAACATAAAATCGGAACATTTAATCACCGAGGCATTTAAGCGAAAATCCCACAGCTCAGAAAATTGGTGCTGATAATGTATAAATAAATGTATATGTGTTCAATTATTATTATCAATGAGCAAAAATAATTTTCTTGGCGCCATTTAGATGACCCATGAATGAATTCGAATGATTCGATTTAAATATAATTATTCATGAAAATCAAAAATGCTCTATAAAATCGTTATTATTTGGCTAATTCAATAATGGGGTTACGGATCTGAAAGACCACCTCTCAGAGCTTAGACTTACCTTGTTAAATTCGATTACTTGAAGTCAGATCTTGAATTCGTCCTTAGAATATTCTCGATTAACACAATTTTCACTTCTTGGCTAAAACTGTACTTTTTTTACTTTAACTGTACTTTTTACAGTAATTCAAAATTTGCGGATGGCTTAACAATTAGTTGGAGCTCAGTTTATGACCAGTTCTTTACTTGGTTTGGATTATTTGAAAATTTTGCGATTCCGTCTGGCGAATCTTAACCGTTAGGTGTGACAATGAAGAATAAACGCAAATCCGTTGGAAGCATTTGTTTATATAGGGCCTCGGATGGCGACGCCACATAAAGGCTCATTCAACAGGTTCAAATGGGCAACCAAACCGGCAGCGACGGGAACGACGGCAACTACGGCAACGACAATAACCGACACGACACTTCGGAGGTGACAGAAGCCGCCGCACGTCTAATGTTCGAGTGGGTGGTTCCGGTGGCTCGGTGGGTAGATGTATAGATGAGTCTCTCCGCCTCTCCCGGGTCAGGTTTTTGGGGGCGGGGGCTGATGATGAATTCGAGGTGCTGGAGTACTTGCAAAGTTTTTTGTAATTTTATTTCAGCGCGGCTAATTTTGGAACACCCGAAATTCAGTGGTGCGCGAACTGTTGGCTTCTTAGCGCTTTCTGGGCTGGAGGCAAACTAAACTCGACGGATGGACGATCGATCTCTTACCACAATCAGCGAAGAGGAGCCGAACGGACCCCTAAAGAACTGAATAAAGTCGGTTTGGTGCCTTCGGATTCGGTGTTCGGTTTGCTCCCGAGCCCGTGCCGTAGTCGTGCCACGCTTTTGACAAATCGTCTGATAAAGCCAAGATTTATGATCCAAGGGGCTATATAGTTAGTACAATGAATATGAGCTGCGGTACAGCTAATAGGGTTCAGCATATTAGTCTGAATCAGATTATAGATGATCTGTGAATGTAGAGTTACGGCACTATCTACGCGCTTACACCTTCGCTAGGTTCATTGCCTTTCTATAATCTGCTAGTGGTAGTCTTCATAAATCCATGAAGAGTCATATTCAATGACTCTATGTTTCCAATTGTAGGTCATTAAACCCGCTGTGATTATGCTGGAATTTTTTAAAATTTTTAATGTTAATTGGGTCAATGCCGATTTGCAGTTTTTCTGAGCGGATGTTGCAAGCTCATCGCTAATGAAACGCCTAAGGGATCACATGATTTCCTTTTTGGGATCAAAACGCTCTAAACACCCTTTATGTCTGGGTACCTGTAAATAAACCCAATTCGAGGGTTACCCCTCATAAATCTAAATAAAGTACTTTAATTAGCTACCAACAAGCGAGATGAGCAAATAGATGGACTAAAAATAATTCCAGTTTCCTGAACGCATACAAAAATAGCATGGAAATTTACACAGATCCATCACAAACGTAAACAGTTGGATCTAATCTTTTATGCTTACTTACGTATCATAGTATCATAGCAAATCTTGATCGCTTTCAGTCAAAAAGTGTCCAAAAAAGTGACGCAATATCACCTCGTATTAAATCACACAGAAACACAATTTATTGGGGGTGTCGTGACACACAAATTCTTGACAGATTTTTGATTTCATTCTAAAATCAGTTGTATATATTATAGTCTCCCCTAGTCATTTCCTAATTTGAATATAATGCGTCGAATTTTGGGCAAAGTCCCAGTAGACAGCAATTAAATGTGTCTAGGAAGGTTCGCTAAGTCATATATTAAGAATAGAACCAGATTAAGCCGACATACGTCGACCCCTTGTCTGATCCGGAATATCGGAAGGTAGTCCCCTAATCTACTTCGCCCACGCTTCGGCCGCTGATTTGTGATTAAATTAATTTTTATGGTTACATCACCCCCAAAAACCGGGCGGGGGAGTCGTACTCATCTCTTGTCTGACATTGATAAGCACTGTCTTTTTTTGGAAGCCGCGTAGAGCTGATAGGAAATCAAAGAGCAATCATATCAGTGCTAATTGACACTTATTAAAACGCGACCGCAGTAAGTGACACTCCGTGCCGGAACAAAGGCAGCCAAACACGTGCTGTGCAATAATCAGCAATACAAAATATCACGTGACTGTTTGAGATTCCATAGCCTGTAGTTTATATATAGTTACTCAATCACTCGTGACACTCTACAATGCATGGCGCTCAGCTTCAAAACGAATTTTGTTTGAATTGGCGCCTTAGCGTAACAGTCATTTTCCAACACTTTTTTGGGGCCATAGATAAACATCCAGGGCTCCCAAAAGACTGAAGACGAGATTTCTTCACTCGGGTAAAATCCAGTATAATTGGGGATAAAGTGTGAAACTTTTCCATATTTATTTATAAATAATGGTTTTCGATTTACAAAAATTATGAATTTTGGGGCTTCAGAATTCGTTCTGGACTATCGATTATTTTTTGGGGCGATATACAAATCGAAGTCTGGCAACACTGTGAACTGAATACAATACAGCTGAAAAAAATAAAATGTGAATTAGTTGGCGAAAAAGTAAATATTAACACCAAATATCTTATTTGCGATATTTAGGCAACACTATTACGATACAAATATATCCCTATTGATATATTACCAACAACCAAATATATATTTATCGAAGTCCAACGTCCTGAGAGGAAAACAATATACGCTGCCAGAAAAAAACAACATATTTCAGGCCGACTGTCTCTCCTGGCCAAGTTGAGAAGATCCTATTGGGATTACCATGTCGACGCTTCAACTGGAATTTTCGCAGGCAATGGCCGACTTTAAAAAGATGTTCCCCGACATTGATCGGGAAGTGATAGAGGCCATACTCCGTGCCAACCTGGGCGCCGTGGACCAAACCATAGATGCCCTTCTCGCCATGTCGATAGACAACCAGGTAGGTTCAGAACATACATTTTTGTATGGTATACTAACAGCAGCCCACTAACAAACCGCATGCCGCAGAACGAGAAACTGCGCAATGAACTGGATGCTAATGTCTCGCCCCAGCAGAGCCTCATCAACCTGAACGACTCGGACAAAGACCTCCGCCGGACTGTCGACACCACGGATGGTGGCGGGGAGACAGGAGGACCTAATGGCGCATCGGCGACTGGAGCTCTTTTGACCGCCGCCAGTGCCTCGCCGAATCACCACAATACGGGTGCCTCACCAAAGCAACGTCCCAATAAGCCGACAGGCAGTCAAAGCAACACGCCCACAAAGCGGAATCGGCGCTGGAATCCACCCATTCTGGGGCCACTGCCCCAGGGCTTTCTGCGCATTACTCCGGCTCCCGGACAGCAGGACTTTGAGCTCCCTGACGAACAATTCGCCCTGATGCTGCAAAATGAGGAGTTTATGAACCAACTGCGCTGGAACCAGGACTTCATGAACGCCTTAGAGAAGGAGCAAAGTGGCAAGGCCAAGGGCGAGGACGATGCACCTTTCCAGGAGCGGCTCAAGAATATGGGCAAGATGTCGCGCAAGAAGTTCCTTCAAATGGCCAGGGTGTTCACCTGGCAGCGCAACAAAAAGGTGACCACCGCCAAGCAGATCGACTCTTTACCGTTGCGAGAGGAGCCCAGCGATGATGAAGATCACCATCACCAGCAACAACAACAGCAGCAGCAGCAGGCGAACCCCAACCAACAGCAGCAGTCCAGCCAACAACAGCAGGGCCAGTTGCAGCTGCGAAAGTGAAGCGGATCGGCATTTTGTTATCTAATCTCAACGGCCATAACGTGACGGTCACGTGCGCTAGTAATCTCCCCTAAACGAACCCGTTCCCAATCGTAATCTTTAGGCAAGAACGAAATCTCCTATCCAAACGAAATGATTGTATTACCCTAGTTTTAAGCTTAAGTGCAATTTTAATCCCCCGTGCAATATTTTCTTAAAATTTTAATGTTTTTATACGGTTTTGTTTGTTTACTACAAAAAGGTGTTTTGACCTTTGATTCGTTTATGTTATACAGATAATGGAATATTCTTATCTAAATCGGACTTATCTCATTTTATTCGTTTAAAGACACTCTTTTTTTGTCTAAAAGATAAGCCTTTTGTTCTCTCCCCTTTCGTTGTTGCCAAATTAGCGTAGTTACGTTTTAACCGGTAATTTGAAAACGAATAGAAAGTTTGCTAGAAACACACTCATACACAAGTTTGACTGATTATTAAATGCGTTAATTAACAGACACATCACACCAGGACTCGATGACGAATCTCCCAAATACGGAGCAATTTGCTAACCCCGAAAAACCTAGTCATAAAGCGGAACTCTCAAGCCACTAATTGTACAGTAACTTAAACTAAATTTAAATCTTACTCCCCATCCAAATTTCCGTTTTAAAATTTTTTAATGCTGCGCTTAGCCGTCTTTAAACAAATATGCGTATTAACGTTTAACCGCGAATCTCTTAAAACTATGCATACCATATCAGCCTGCAGATTTATTAAAAAACTCAAAAACAACTCCGACTTGAAAACAAAACCTAAGCAGTTCTTACCGTGAAGTGAATATGCGTGCTATAAACTAGCAAATTATTATATTTATTAAAATCGGCTATTTGATTGTAATTGTATGTATAAATATTTGAATATCAACCGTATATAACTATTCCAAGTATCAAATACAGATATTTCAAAACTCAAATCCGCTGTTTTCTTGGGGAAGTCACCCAAAACCATCATATGTCCACTTGGTATATGAATTTATATAATTTTTATTTTGTTTTTGCATTTCCTTTTTAATTTTTTATAAACATAATACATTTATTAATAATTAAAAGATACTCGAGCTTGCTGATCTAATTCACTGCGGCCTCAAGATCTTTTGTAGATCTTAAAAAACGAAGTAATTAGAGTAACAAGTTCGAAAAAATGGTTTTTCAATTACATTTTTCACACGTTCATTATTACATTATGTTATTGTAACGGGGTTTTGTTTATTATTTCAAAAATGATTTTTTTTTTATTTTTAATCATATATTTAATATATATATGTGTATATTATGCTTGGGCTTAGATTTTTAGTTTTTTTAATGTTGGTTGTTGGCTGTGTTTAGACTTTGATTTAAGGGCATGTCGGTATCTACTCGTACGTGAAGTTTATGCATTTCGTATTATATGAAATAATTATAAATTTACTTCGTTTTTTTTTTTTGGGTTTCTTTTCATTTTGGGATTGACACGACTCTCTGTTTAAGTTAAACCATTTTTCTTATGTATAAATATACTAGAATTTGTGGCTGTTTTATTTTTAGCTGTCCCACTAAAAGGATGCGGAAGTGGCACTCGCCCTCTTCCGTTCTCGCTCTCTGAGAGCAATCCGGAGTGCCATTGTTTCTTTCTTTCTTTGTTTGTGTGTATGTTTGTGGGTGTATGGAGTGTGGGTTGTGGTGTGGTGTATGGGATGTGGGTGGGTGGGTGGTAGGGGGCGTGTGTGTCATGAATTTAAATTTGATGCAATTGATCGCATTAAACAATTAGTTGTAAATTTGTTTTAAACTAATTACTAAATGGGCGCATTACTTTCTGGCTGTTTGCAACATTTTGACATCATTTGCATACACAATATTTTTATAAAATATGTTCCTTATTCATGTTCTCAATTTTAGTTGGTTTTTAGTGGAATTCTTTTAGCTTTAGGCATACAATTTAATTTAGCTTAATTTGATTTTGTTTTTAAATGTTTTATACCTTCTTAATTTTTTTTTATTTTCAATTGGTAGAAGAGCAACGACATTGTTTACGGTTCTATTTATAGATATATTTTTTGTTGTTGTTGGTTTGGATTTTTTTTGTTTGTTTGTGTATATAGTAGACGTACTGTAGAGTATAACCGAATAGAATCAATAAATACGAATGTTTTAGTTTACGAATGTTTCACTTGTTGCATAATTTAAAAAACGGCTCAAAAACGAACGACAATTTGTGTGTATATATATATATATGTGTGTGTGTGGTATACGTATATTAAATAATTCCCCATATTCATCAATGGTTCTTCAGCGAAAAATAGTACACAATCATAATAAGTAGTAAATGGTAATTACAAAAACTTGAAACAGTTCTAAAACATTGTCAGTTTAAGTTTCTTGTACATAGTATATTGGTTATTTCAAATTTTTAATAGCATTTGGATCTCAAAAATCGAAACAAGAACGAAAAAAAATTTAAAAACTTTACTCTTACACTTGAATCTCCTCTCTTCTCCTCCTCCTACTCCTCCTAGTTCCTTCTTTCAATCCTGTCGATTTTTTTTTAAATGGTTGGGTTTTTGGAAGTCTTATAGCAGAACACATAGGGACTTTTTCGGTTTCTTTTGTTTCTTCTCGGGCGACTTCTTGTTGATCTGCCTGACCAGGTCGTAGAAGATATCGTTTACATTCACTTTGGCTTTGGCTGAGGTCTCCATAAAGGCGCAGTTGAACTGAGTGGCCAGGCTCTTGCCCAGCTCCTTGCCAACCACACGCTCCTCCTCCAGGTCGCACTTGTTGCCCACCAGCACCATGGGCACATCATCCGTGTCCTTGACCCGCAGTATCTGCTCGCGCAGGTCCTGCAGATCGTTGAACGTTGATTGCGCCGTGATCGAATAGACCAGCACGAATCCCTGACCATTCTTCATGTACAGGTCCCTCATCGCGGTGAACTGCTCCGTGCCCGCAGTGTCGAGAATCTCCAGCATGCACTGCTGGCCGTCCACCTCCACCTGCTTCCGGTAGCTGTCCTCGATGGTCGGGTCATACTTCTCCACGAAAATGCACTGCACAAACTGGACTGTCAGCGCAGATTTGCCCACGCCGCCACTGCCCAGCACAACGATTTTGTACTCACGCATGGCTCACTGTTGTTCCTTTTGTTTTTGTTCTGTTATTTTAAAAGACCCGAAAAGCAGGTAGGCGTAGGTTTTGACTCGCAGGTGGGTTCCAGTTACAAATTCCTCGTATGGTTGCACAAATCTTATGGTTTTGGCTCTCCTCTCCCTTCCTCCTTTTCTCATAAAATCACTAGTTTAGGCGTTGTTCGGCGATTGCTTTTCGGTTGCAGTTTTGTGTGGTTCTTTTAGAACGTTTTTGTAATTATTTGTTTTTTCTTAAACATATATATATATTTAAAGTAAGTTTGTTGCTCTTGTTGTTGTTGATAACCTTTGTGCCGTGTGTGTGTGGTGTGTGAGTGTGTGTGTGTAGGTGTGAGAGCGTGAGACTCTCCCTCGCTCTTTCGAGGTGCGTGCGTTCAATTGTTGCTTTCGGCGATAAATGAAATCTCTCTCCGTTTGTACCGAGGGCTCACTGTGGATGTAAGAAGAAAGTAGTTTCACTATATAGTTTGTACACTGTAATTTGGATGCTTTAGTTCTTTTTTTGGTTTGCGCTTTTGGTATGCTGGTATGCACTCCCTCTTTTTGTTCTTTTCTTTTTCTCGCTCTATCAGCCCCTCTTATGATTCATTTATAGAGTTGCCAGGCGGCCGTGGGGAAACGCGCTGCACTTGCAATTCCCAATTGCGATTCGTTTATTTCTTAAATGAAAATATTGCAATGTTTATGTGGGCCGCCAAGTGTGTATAACATCGATGTAAAGCCGAACGTTTAGCCTTGCAATCGTAATGCACACCCGCATGAATCTGCGGGCAACTCTAGGCGAATCGGAGCGCGTTTTACCTTTGTTTTTTGTCTCCACTCGCTGCGATATCCGTTGCGCGATGTTTTTTGTGGCCCTCACCTGTCGCCGCTCGCGATTCGCTGTACTTTTGATTGATAACGGCGATAATTCCGTGATTCCGGAGCAAATAGACAATTTTTTCGCCCACAGCCGAATAGACAACTTTTTTGCTTGCTGCGAAATACCGAAAAAACGGCCACACAAATTCCAAAGAGGAGCGGAAAAAATACCAACATATTGATAACACAAGTGTGACCATCAACATATTTAAGAAACCAACAGGCGCCAAAATGGATACAGTTCAAACTTGATTTCAGCAACTTCTCGATTTTATCAATTCACATAACTATATTTAGCAAAACAACAGAATGAAAGTCTAACTAAAATTTCGTACAAAAATTCAGCGGGTTGGCACCTTAACGAATCTTGGTCACCATTCCAGCGGCGATGGTAACCCCGGCCACACGCAGCATGACTCGTCCCAATTCCTTGAAGTCTGCATAGCGCTCGATGCAGATTGGTCGGCTCGTTTCCAGTTCTACCAACGCGCAGGAGTTGTTTCCCAGACAGCGGGGCTTCTTCTTGACCACCTCGCCCGTACTCTTGTGAATCAAAGCTGTCAGTTTGCACACTACGGCTGGTTCTATCAGGGATTGGTGGTGCAGAAGCACGGGAAATCCCATCGTGATCGGGACCTTAACGTTGAAAACGATGATGCGGGCTTGGAAACGAAGGGTCACTGGAATAGGTGTTTGTGGATCACAGATGATGCAGCCTACGGTAACGTTGTTGATGTCCACACCGGCGAGAGTAACAGATACCTGATCTCCGGCAAAAACACTCGTCTGGGGAAACTCGTCCATTGTGATGGATTTCACTTGAGCCTGCTCCCGGCTGGCTCCCACTAAAACTTTATCGTTTACGCAAAGTACTCCAGTTTCCACCCTTCCAGAAATGCAGAATCCTGATCCGGTGCCCTTGTAGATATCGGAAACGGACATGCGCAAAGGTCTATCAATAGCGCGTTCGGGGACCTTGAAATTGTCAATAACATCCAGGAGGTGTGGGCCACTGTACCAGCTGGTCAGTGCCGATTCCTGCGCCTTCTTGGTGAGATTCTCTCCAGTAAGTCCTGAGCATGGTGTAAAGGTCACGTCCGACTCTTTAAAGCCAGCTTGCTTGAGGAAAGACTTCAGTTTGGTGACAATCTCCGTGAAGCGCTCTTGTGACCAGCCCACGGTGTCCAGTTTGTTGATTACCACGCCCAGCTGGTTGACTCCCAACGATCGCACCAAAATAGCATGTTCTCTGGTCTGCCCACCAAGTTCAAAGCCAGACTCGAATTCACCTCGCGTGGCATCTACGACGAGGAGAGCCACGTCCGCCTGTGTTGCGCCCGAGATCATATTCGGTATAAAGTCCTTGTGCCCAGGCGCATCCAATAGAGTCACAATCTTTGAAGTTGTTTCGATTCGGGACTGGCCCACGTCCATCGTGATTCCTCGAGCCCTTTCTTCGCCCGTTTCGTCCAGAACCCAGGCATACATGAAGCTCTGCTTGCCCAGCTTCTTGGACTCCTGTTCGTGTTTGTGCATCACGCGTTGGGAAACATTGCCGGTGTCGAAGAGAAGATGGCCCATAAGGGTGCTCTTTCCAGCATCTACGTGGCCAATGACAATCATGTGTATATGACTTTTCTGGTCGGATCGCTCCTTTTCATACAGCTGGCGTGCATTTCTCTGGGCCTGGTCCTTGGAGACTTTAAAAATAGTGGCCGGAGTTCGATTAAGGTCGTCCCCGTCCACGGGAGTATTCCGTCCAGACACCACCGGCGAAGAGGGCACTTTCGGAGAGGCGATTTCGAAGCCTCTCCTGGGCTCTTTCAGACTGATTTTCGGTGGTGGTGTAGGTGCCGCTTTGCTGGAAGATTTGGCTGCACTTAATGGTAGCACGGGAGTGGATGGTGTCTTTTTAGTCGGCTTCTTCTTGGTTTCCTCATTGAGAATCTCATCTAGGATCTTCTGCATGTCGTAGTCAAACTTCATGGACGTCTCCACTATTCGGCGCTCGGAAACAGCATCTCCCACTACGCTGCGCACCTCATCCACGCAAGAACTCAGCTTGGCCTGGTCAATCTCGTTCAGCTGCGGCATTTGGAAGCTTTCAGAGTCCCGCCGCGCCTTTTCAAAAGAAGCGTCCTCATCCTCCTCGTCAGGGTCCTCTTCCTCAATGTTTTTGTTCTTGCTCAGGAAGGCCGAGATGCTTTGTTGGCCACGGGCACGATCGTAGAGCCAGTGCTGGGCATCCGTGGGGGAAATGCAGTGCTCATCTTCCACCGAGTGGCCGTAGACGTCGTCATAGCCATCGTACTCGTCGTTGTAATCCATCGTGCGCACTATCCGGTGGCGCGACATCTTGATGGGATGTTTATTTCACAATTTACGAAAATAAAGTCAGAATCGCATCGAGGAAAATAATACAAGAGCGTGCTAATGTGACCGTTGCGTCTTTATCTTCTTGCGACTTTTGGTATTTAAAGCAGGGGCGTAGTACAAAATATTTAAGAAGCGATGAAACAATAATTTACGTATCCCAACTCAAGAATAGACTTTTAATATGAATATGCCACTATGACAAGTAAATTGAAGCACTTTTACTATAAAGAAAATAAACAACCCGATTTTAAGCAAACCGACTTACGTCAGGTAATTTTAGGATTCACACTCTGGTCACACTCGAACGTGCTGCTTCTTCCTGCCCTGCTGAACTCGTCTTTTGTGTCGCGTTAAATAGAACGAGAAAAACCCCTTTTCGTCGGTTCAAAGGCTGTGGAATAGGGAAAATCGGTGAAAAATCAACCCGGATTCGGAGTGCACAACCAGGATGGCGAGGCAGCATTAGAACCAAATCGCTTTTCACTCGATATTCGAGGCAGTGCGAGCCAACGTTGGCAACCCAAATATCGTCGTTAATAATAAACAACACCAACAGCAGCAGCAGCCGAAGCAGCAGCAGCCGTTGAGCCAGCATAAACAGCGGAAATATGTACAACAACGGGGCCAGGGGCTTCTCCATACACGACGCCTTCGAGGAGGAGACGGACGAGGCGATACGTGTGTATGGATCCACTGTGATATCCACGCCCATGCGGGGCGGAAAGCAAGGTCGCTCCACCGAAGACGTCTCCATTCGCATCCAGGATCCAAAGTGAGTGGGGGGCACCCCAAAACGGGTCTTGGCCCGCAATCATGTATCCAATTCGCTTCGATTAGACCTGATCTGCGTGCGTGGGCTGCTATTATTGGCACCATTTTACTGTGCTTTGTGCTGAGGCGCTTTCTGATTCACTTTAGTCCGCCAAACAAGGAAGCTTAAGTGTTCCCATTCTCGTTATTGTTATTCTCATGTTTATTTATATTAATCCGACTGGCCAGCTGTTCCGACTTACGAAAGAAAGGGAGTGCTATTGTGTCTTCCAGAAAAGGGAGTATCATATTCTGTTTATTGAGTTCATTCTTTAAAGAATTTAAAAGCTTAGAAGTTTAATTTAATGTCTAAGCCCGCATAGGGATTTGGATATTCCCAAGATACCGTACTTTGCTGACTTCCTTGTTCCCGCCGGAAGCAGTTGGGCGAAGCACCTGAATAAGTTAGTGGAGCTCGACGCCACAGGCGCGTGCGTGCTGCTTTCTGGCTTTGTTGACCACCTCAATCCGCCCGGGTCCAAGCCAATCCATTCATTTCTTCTTCTCTTCCATTAGCCATGCATGGCGTGTCGCAATAGCAACAACAACAACCACACTTTAATACTATGTGTAATTATTGGATTATAAATGCAGACGTCCAGCCTAATTTGGCATTCAATTGCAAAAATCATTGCGCATAAATTTCGTCATAAGGGCTTCATCGCCATTTTTTGAGGATTGTGCGAGGTAGGAGGAGGTGCTGGGTGGAGGAGGCAAGAGCGGCCTTCGCCTGCGGTCAGCTGGAACCAGTTAGCAAGCCAGCAACCGACTCATCGGTAACTGCACTTGTCGGGCTTCTACCCCCCCTTTACGCCGCTGGCAAACGCAAAAATGATTGCGTTTTGCTTTTGGCGGCAATCCAATCCTACGATAACCTCAGCTCACTTGATAACAGACCCAAAGTCTACAATAGACTCGGTTCAAAAACCGAATTTCTCAACGCAAAATAAAAAAAAAGGTTAAAGGGGCCTGCATTGCTTTACTTGAATACATTTTCCGCAGAATAAACTTGGACTAATTTGTGTTTCATAAGCTTAATCGAGCTAAGATCGACCCACTTTACTCCGCTCTGTTATTATAAAGCGTTTATGGTCCAAAGTTCAGGGTTATATGACGGCTTAACTGAGTTTTATTATAGTATTCCATTTTCTAAACTTTTTATCTAACTTTTGTTTTTATTTTCTTTTTAATTCTAAAAGGGGCTACAAGTATGCCGAGGACACAACGTCCCGGGACAGTGACTCGCTCATCCAGGAGTACGGCAACCTGCCCACGGAGGAGACCAACACATACTGCTGGCGGCATCCAAAGGTGCGCGAGAACTGGCGCACAGTCCTGGCCGCCTTCACGCTCCTTGTCATCGGCACTGGCCTGTTCGTGATGGGCACCTTCGCCATTGCCGATCCGCAGAACACATCGCAGGGAGTTGTGTTTTTTGTGGCCGGACTTATCTGCTTCATTCCGGGGGCCTATCACGTTGTCTACATCTGGCTGGCGGCCAAAGGATATCGAGGGTTTGACTTCTATCACCTGCCACTCTTTACATAAGCGTCGATAAGCGAAGAGTGCTCTGGTTGATCCAGGAGACAAGTAGCAAAACCTAAAACGGAGAGAGGGAGACCCCTATCCACCCTATATACATCCATGTGTTTGTTTATATTTGTATAAACAACTTATTTTCTATAAATTAATCGTAAATAACCCGAAACCGAACCCGAATGCCGGCTTTTGCGTAACGTACGTTTTTGTGTTCGGCCAAAGTGGCGAAAAATTTCGTTTAGACAAAGCCCCTCTTAACCCCCCAATCGAAATATAGCAATATATTTATATATATGATTATATATTTTACAACATTTTCTATTATATACTCAGTAAAGTGTTTTGTATGCCCCTAAAATGTTTAAATACGTACGCTCGAAATTGATTTAAGCAAAGAGAAAAAAAAAAAAAAACGAAAGACTTTGTATATGATGCTAAAATGTTAAAGAATCGCTAGAGTTATACGTACACTATATATATATAAATTGTAATTGTAATTTATTGAAATTTAATAGCACCAAAAACGCTACAACAATGCGTACGTTTTACGAAAATGTTTTACGATTTTCAAAAGCAAAAGCTAAAACACTCGAAAGATTATAACAAAACAAAAAACAAAACCCGTACACCCACGAATCTATGTATATGATTAGTGAGCGTCTGTCCATGGATGCGCCTTAAAGATCTAGATCTAGACTTTAGTCAACTTCGAATTATGATTATGATTTAAACCTAATCGATTGTAACGAGACAATTCTCAAGCGAATCATGATGAATAATACCAAGCTACTAGTGATGTAAGATGAAGCGCCGATATTGCAATATGTTCTTTTTATAGATATAGTGATGACGCGCCTCTTTTCCGCTGACTACCTTTACCTTTACCTCACCCCCAGCCACACCGTCCTCTAATGAAATTACATCTCAAACAGTCATCCACACTGATATATACACCTCATCTGCCGTTTAGTTCTTAATGTTGTATAATTTCTTAATTAAGAACTGCTGAATATGGTTGTATTAAATAAAAAAACAAAAAGAAAAATCTGAATAAGATTAACGGCTAATACAGGACCTATTATTTTCCAAAATTCATCCTAACCCTAGTGTGTAGTTGTAACTTTTGACTTTTGTATGTATTTTCCCCTATTGAATGTTGGTTTTTATTCGAATTAAAATTATTATTTTTGATATATTTTTGTTTTAATCGCAAGCTTTTGGCTGACATTGGGTTATCAGAGTGATATAATAAATTATTTATCATTTTTTGTTTGGTTTATTGGACGTGCATTATCTATTCCTTTTTTAAAGACTATTTTTTTTTCGCGGAAATTTTATTATTTCTTTAAAGATAAACTTTATCTTTATTTTTGCGGCATGCCCATTGAACTTTTATCAGACTCCCCCCCCACAGAAACCCAAAGCGCGTTTCCAGATGTAGATCTCATACTTATTCAAAAAATATATACATTTATTCATTGATGTATCCTTGACCTCCACATCCACCCACTCCGGTCCCAACCCACTCCGGACTCTCGAATAACAAACTTTCGGCTAATGGCAATGCAAATGAGATGAAATTAAATGGAATGTTAGAAACAATCAAATCGGCTATGGAATAGGCTATATACTTGCTCAATACGACAGTTAACGACGGCTCTATTAGGTTTAATTATTTATTGGTGTTGTGCGCCTCTCCGAATCGATTATTTTTGTAGCTTTTAACTTATTTGAATTGAACTTGAATTTGAATAATTGTTGCCTCGACTTCGGCTCTACTCGATTCGATTTGATTCGGTTAGATTCGAATAATTCGAATACGCTCGGAACCGTTGACGATTAAGCTTTAAATGTGCTTAGCCAAGTAAGTGTGGAAATGGAATAAAGTGCATGGAAATAAAACGCCAAACAATTGTTTGTTGTTCCTCCCCCCAATCTGGATCCTGGTAGTGATGGGAAACCGGAACCGGAACCGTACCTCTACCATGTTATACGCTTTCCTGGGCCACTCCACTTTATTATTCTACTCATTTCATGAAAGCATATTGGTTTTATCTCTCACTTTTAATAAAATTTAATTTTTTAATATAAAAACTATATAGAGGAAGCTCCAAGTGTATACCTCGTACTCTTTCCCATTATGAACTCCCGATTTCTCCTCTTCTGGGAGACAATATGTCACCAGGCATCGATCAAACATCAGGACATCTTTGGCGGCCTGGCAACGGGCGCCATTGAAACCCAAATGTCAGGCAATAACCGCAGGGGGGGAGCCGAAGTGGCGGCCGCAGGAGGAGTATCGGCTAACTAATGCCTGGCAGAGTGCACATCCAAGTTCATTAGACTTTGATGGGTGCGGGAGGACGACTCAACACGAAATGGAAAGTTTCGGCGAACCCACATCCCACTCGTAAATCGCAGCGCAAAAGTTTCCAAGTCTAAAAATATCCCGGCACTCGACGCAGGCAATCGATGTGCCACGCCAGGAGGAGCTGGCAGAGATGAGCGAACGCGAGCCAGAATCGGACGAGGACTGCGAGGTCTACTGTAAGTTGTTATCTGATCCTTCGGGCGACAGCATGTCACTTCTTATGGATTATTCCGCAGTCCTGAAGCCGGTCAACGAGTACAACATTGTGGACAGGATTAAGGAGGCCAACAAGGAGCTCTTTGCCCCGGACGAAGCCCTCGCCGATGGCAACGGTAAGGTGACCAAAGTGAAGTTCGCCTTGAATTTGGAGGACTACGAGCCCACTGGTCAGCAGAAGGACTTGAGCCCCAGTCCACCAGATGAGCTCTTGCAGCAGTTATCCCAATTGAAGCTCAAGCCCATTGCTGAAGAGCCGGTAGTGGCTTCGGTTACTGAGGACATCCCAGTTCCCCCACTTGAAGTTCCTGAAGCTGAGGAGGTGGAGGAGGAGATATGCGAGGAAATCCTGGACATAACAGAGGTGGTCCAAGAGCCAGTCGTGCAGGAAGCTCTTCCAGTGGACGATGAAGACGACTTCTCCGGGGTGGACGAGGCCGACTTGGATGACTCGCCCTCGAAGAAGGATCCCGCCCTTCCCGCAGCCTTTCAGATTCGACAGAGCACCTTCGACCACGGCGAATCCGACCAGAAAAGCCTGACCAACCTGCTCACCGAGTCCGACTGCGAGGAGGAAGAGCGCACCCTCAACGAGGCCCGCCAGAAACTGAGGGACGCCTACAAGAATCTGTACAAGACCCTTGATCCAAAGCAGCAGGCTACCATCGACAGGTTGACGGGACTGGAGGCAGAGGTACCTCTACCCGATCCTGATCCTACTGCGGTGGCTGTTGCTGAGGAGGAAGAGGATAATCTGTCCATCATAGTGGCCAGCTACATTCCGGAGGACTTTGAGCTCAACGAGCAGAGCATTTACTTTAAGAAAGAGGAGCCAGAGGATGGCCTGAAAGGGGCCTGCACAACCACCTGTCCCAAAGCCACTTCCAAAACCTTCTTCACTTCGCGCAGTTTCAGCTTCCGGCGCAGGACCAAGCCCACGCCCACGCCCTCGTCAGCTTCCGCCTCGGGATCCACCACCTCGCCCACCATTCGGATGAACTATAAGATCTGCTGCGAACATCGCAACTCGCTCCAGGGAAAGCTGCCGCGCTATACGGGCTACATGTCGGAGTACGGGCTGAGTGCCCAGCAGTTGCAGAAGCGGGAGCAGCAGATTCGCCGGAAGCAGCGCTTCTCCATGGAGCAGACCCTCAACCGCAACGAGCAAGAGCTGAAGAAGATGCAGGACAACGAGCGAGCCTTCACCACATGGCTGAAGAACAAGATGCGGTATCCGATCAACAAGACCCGCAACATGTTCGACGCCCACAAGAGGCGGGGAAGCGTGGCTGCAGCCGGAAACTCGGCTACTTCCCGACAACAACACCATGGCCATCACCACGAGGAACAGGCTTGTGGCGGACGTAGGAGACGTCGGGACAGCGGAGACGAGGTTGTTCATGCCTACAGACACCTCTTGGGGAGCTGGAATAAGTAGCCTTAATATAGTTTCTTATTTTAGTTTATTACATAAATGTATAGTCGTATTATATTTAATTTTTAATACAACTTTCCAAGCGAGAATGGGAGTGGTGGTGGTGGTGGTGGTTCGGGGATTGTGATCCTTTTTAAACAGATTTGACAATGAGGGATAACAAAGGGATTGAAGTATTTTAGTGTCGCGATTTCTTCGACTTGTGACCATTGTCGCGGCTGTCATCCCGCGAGCGCTTGCGATCCTTGTCCTTGCTGCTGCTCTTGTGTCCCGATGAGGAGGAATGATGCTTGTCTCGGCTTTGGTACTTGTCCTTGGACGATTTCGATGGGCTTTAAATAGATTACAAGTAGCTTTCATTAGTATCTTTGTTTGAGTTTTAAAATATTTAAATTTAATTAATTTTTTAAATTTTGCAGCAAGCTATAAGATGGGTTAAGATGGGTTATGGAAGGTGTCTATGGAGGGTTTAATGGGGAATTTCGTAACATTCGAATAAAAACTCAAAACTTATGGAGATGGGGTATTAAAATCAAGCCGATTAGAAAAATCAAATCGAATTTGGAGGTTAAATTTGGAAAACCTTTATATACAACTGGATTTTAATGGATGAAAGTGTTTTTTAAATGGTATATGACATGCGCTTGCTTAAATAATTAACAATTGGCCGGAAATGGAAGTATTAGCTTTTATTTCAAGGTCTTTCCCGTAACAAACCTAGATGAGCTGCCATGTTTGGAGCTGGAGGATTTTAAATGCGAAGAGGAGGAAGAGGAGTTCGACTTATGCTTTTTACTGTGCGACGACGACGATCGCTGCTCCTCGCGTTCGCGGCGACTGTGATTGGTGTAGAAACAGGGTAGAAACGATTTATAAATATTCACAAATTCAGGAGGAGATCTTAGAGATCTTAATAAGTAGTAAGGATAAGGGAGCGATTCCATACCTGTGCTTTGAGCTTTTGTTGTGTTTCTTGGACTCGTATTTTCCGTTCCGTTTATCATCGGTATTGTAATCATGGTTGCGATCCTCTTCGGCGGCTTCGCGCTCCAGGTCAGACCAATCCTTGCCGGACTCTTCATCCGATCCGAGGTCTTCTGCAGGTGGATGATAAGAATGAAAACCATTGGTGATTTGGAGTTTGATAGTAGGATCTTACCATCGCTTTCGTCGCTCTCATCTTCGGAGGCCTCAGAGTATTCGGAATCATCTTCGTCCGACTCCTCGTCCGAGTCGGCATCTGTGGGGTTGTAGGCCTCATCTTCCTCAGACTCGGCAGTCTCGTTCTCGTCCTCGCTACCCGATTCGGGGTCCAAGAAAGTCCAACCGCCCTGATCGAAGAATCCCTCGGGATCGTCTGTAATGGTCTTCATGATCTTCACCCAGTTAAGAGACTGGACACCTTCCGAGTAGCGAATGTCGCAGGAACTAATGGAAGACACCCAACATAAGTAACCATATCAACTATCAACTATCAAGTAACCATCAAAGGAGAAGACGTACTTGAGCCACTCCTTAACGTGGTCCAGCAGGTTCATGGGGATGGCATTGACCATGGCCACCTTTTTGTTGTACTCCTTGAACACGAATATCATGTCGAAGTTCCGCAGATGGAACTGGACGCGCTCAAAGTGCACCAACTCGACATCGTCCAGGGTGATCACAAATGGTGGCCACTCGGTGAGGTTCACTAACGATCCGGAGGTGGGCTGCAGCGTCACTGTGCTACGGAAGGGGGCTCCCGGGAATCCCAGTTCACGGAATGGAGTATCAAACTCCACCACACTCTTCGTCATGCCCTCCACTTTCTCGCAGAAACTCTTAAACGCCGTCTTGAGCTTGTGGCGCAGCTCGCGCTCAGACTGCTCGGCCGCCAGATCGTCACGGTCGTGCATGTGCTGGTGCTTTCCCAAATCCGTGGTGATCTCACCCACCTCCGTATAGAATTGTACATCCACGTGCTTCTTCTTGCCGAACATAATGGCGTACTTGAGGTGGAAGTGGAGCAGGATAATCATTTCCCCGTCGCAAGGCTGGAAAAAGGCGCTCTTGATGTTGTTATAGAGGATGTCCACCTTGTCGCCGCGCACAGAGATGTAGCGGAATCCATTGGTGTGCGCCTCCAAGCTTCCAGTCATACGTTTTGTGACAATATTGGGACGGATATAAAGATCCTTGAGCTTGGGGTTGCCCTTGTTCTGCGACAGAATCAAGGTGTCCTGCTTCACCAGATCCTCTTTTTCGCGCTCCTCTGCCTCCCGAGTCTTGAAGCGCTTCTGTACCTCCTTAATGAGTCGGAAGGCGTTGTTTAAGTTGCCCGAGGGAGCAGCTACTTCGCCGTGTTCTTTCACATTAGAGCTCCGATAAGTGCTGCATCCGAAAACAGAATATGAAACATAAACCCATGATATGAAACTGCATGTTACTTACACTTCCTTCACAAAAGTGGCCTCCGGCTGAGGATAGAGTCCGCCCTCGTTACGTCCCATTGTGGCACCCGGGTGAAAGAAGTTGATTCGCAAGTACGTGTACTCGCCTTCCACCGACTGGGATATATTTTTGATGGTGGAAATGTGGAACGGCACCTGGATGCCGAACACGGGCATGATGACAGTCTCGTATTTTTTGTCCACAAACAGCTTCAGTTCCTTGACATCCGTCTCTCGGGGCATTTGGCTGATGGATTTGTAGGACACTGTGTTTTTTCGAACCTTCTCAACCTCCTTGGAGTTTCCCTGTTTAGCCAGACGCTCCTTGGCGCGTTCGTTGAGCTGCTGGGCCAGCTCCCGCTGATGCTCCTTGCGCTTCTCCTCAGTGTTGATTTCATTCCGCAGCTTCGACTCGAGGACAGCGTTACGCTTGCTCCGGCCAAGAATTTCGGTGCCTTGATCTTCCTTAGTTGCTTTCTTATCGTCGACATCCTCCTCCTCGCTGTCGTCCTTAATGAAGATGCCCACATTCTTGATCTTCTTTTTCGAGGGAGTCATCACACTGGCGGGAGACGTCTCACCTACCAGAACGGTATCTCCGATAAACAGAGCGTACGTCTTGCCCTCCTTATCGGTGGCGTCGGGATTGGTCAGATTCGAGATGCCCACATGGAGGTTGAACACCATGTTCTTCTTTATCAACGCTTGGCATTTCGGTCCGATCACAATTGAGTTTTCACGGAATTCCAGGCCCATGGCAAAGCCAAAACTCTTGGTAAGATTTTCCACCATGTTGGGCTTCTCCTTCTTGACGAAGGCCACCGTCTTCTCGTATACATCGCAAAGTTTGGCGCCCGGCACCAGCAGCTTAAGAATCTCTTCCTGCACATTTACCAGAAATGTGTAGTTCTCCTGCATGGCGTCGGTGGGGTTGACGAGGAATGTTCGCGAGATATTGGAGCAATAACATTTGTACCGTGCCCCCAGCGAGCAAACTATGACGCCAAAATGCAAGATATTCTTGTCAGCAGCTGCGGAGAACTTCAAGCTATAGTTTCCGCCCGACTGGATTATCGGTGGGTAGGCCATGTCCAGCAGTCGTGGGTCCAGTCCGCTGGTATACTTTTTCTCTCCAATGGCCGTCTCGCAGCCATCAGCCAGCTTCACGTGCTTCACTTTCTGTGGGTTTCCGAAGGGATTAAGTTAATAGCTTGAACATATTTCCAGAATGCAAAACCCACCCTATCAGAATCGATAATATCCATGATTTCATCCTTGAGATACTTGTTGAAGATGTCCATGGACACCAGAGAAGCTTTGCGAATGTTGTTGATCTCTGTCTCGTCCTTGGGACACATGAGATATGCTATGATGGTGCTGATGTCCACATGATCGAACTTGGCATCCATCAGGGACTTCTTCCAGGCCTCACTGAACTCGCCCGGATAGGCGTCCTTGGTAAAGACACCCAGGCGCTTTCCCTTCTTTGAGTTCTGAATCACCTTGATCAGCTTGTCGTAGTTTCCCTTATCCTTGTCAGTCTAAAAAGGGGATACCATGATTAGATTGCTTACAGGGTGAGAAGAATACCCCTTCGAACTTACCCGGTCTCTCACAAGGAGCTTGATCTCTGGCATTCCCTCCTCGGTTATGTTTTGGGTCTGTTTCAGGAACTCGATCTTCTTTTTGCTGGTGAGAAAGTATATGGCGTCCGATGCAAACACTGAGATGGTGTCTGTAAGCTCGTAGCCAAGCAGCCAGAGCTGCAGGGACATGGACTTGGCGTAGATCACATCGTCGTCGGTGCCCACCACGCTCATGAGGCAGTCTAGGTTGCTGAGCGAGTCATCGTGTCCGGTGCTGGGAGCCTGTGTCAAATATGTAAAGGTATTTGTATAGAAGAGATATCCATCTTCGCGCCTAACCTAACTCGAAATTCTATGCCCGTTGTTTATCACCTTTTTCTATGAAGTATGGAATTTCATCACAACTGTTAATATAGCTTATAGTATCTATATGCATAGGAATTTCTGAGCGTGCCGGGGCTCCTGTAGGCACAAAAGTGGCCTGGGGATCCGCAGCCAAAATCCCACTCACCTTCCATTCAGTGTAAAGGCGCTTTACGCGGCGCACAAACGCCTCCTTGTCCAGCACGAAGCTCATCTTGCGTTTTGATCCACCAGAGTCGGTCGGGATGTGCAAATGGAAACGTAAATTCAGCTAAACAAAATTAAACAAAATACAACACATTTGCGAATTCCGGGCGAAAAAATTGCGCGGCGGCGCGGGAGCAAGAAGAAGACACAGCGTCGTGATCTGGCGCCAATGTCGTGAGTTTGGTATTTTTTTTCGCCGTAAGCAACGGTCCTATTCAAATTGTCCATCCCTAACCAGTGTTGAAAAGCATTGGAAAAAATAACGATAATTTAAAAATATGAGTTGATTATGATTGATTGACTTACTTTTTTAAAAATTTTTAAACCTCCCATTAAAATTATTAAAACCATTTGTTTAAATTTAGTTAAGTTTATTATTGTTTTCATTCAGTATTATCAACATTTGCAATTACGTACTGTGACGGCTAATATGTGAGTTCGTTGAACTTGATTCATTGGTTGTTAGCAAAGTCTAAAAGTTAAGGGCTGGGATTAATTCTTAGGGCCCGCAGGACTGTCTACCTCGTCGGGCCTGGCCACCTGCAGATACTCCTGGATGTCATAGTCAAACAGCTCAAAGTCGTATCTAAAGAATTAAAACATTTAGTAAAGTGTGAAATCTTAAATATGAAATAACGATTAACTTACTTGTAATACTCATAGAGCTCCAGCATCTCTTGTCGCGTTAGCTGTGCATAGAACTGCTGCTGGAGCTCGTGCGTCTTGCGGCCCTTGCCCATGTTGCGCCACACGGGGGCTATCACCCGATTCAGGCCAGTCTTTTCGATTAGATATAATTGATCCTCCGCCAGGGACTCGAACTTCAGTATCATGTCGAACCGGATGAGGCAGGGAGTGCAGAAGGAGGTGGCCGCTACGAAGTGCATGTCGATGAAGCTGCCCCGCTTCACCTGGTCGAGAAGCCAGTGCACAAACTCCGGGAACGAGGGGAACTTGGTATTGGCCGCCCGAGCAGCCAGAGAAGGCTGGAAAAACAAAACCATCATTAAATTCTCTCTTCTTCAAGAGCACCTGTCTAAACTTACCTTCTTGCGATAGTTTCGCACGATGCTGCGTCCCAATTTGTCATGGAAGGAGTAGGGCAGGGCGAACACCATCTTGTCGCGGTAGGCGCTCAACAGACGCTCGAAGGGATTGCGGGCAATAATGAAGGTAAGCGAGTAGTTCTGGGCCTCACGCAGCTGGCAGGGGGAGAAACAAACAAATAGAAACTTAATATGCTTCAGTAAACAATCCTTTTGGGCAAAGTTAACAAACCTCGTCGAGTGTAACGCGGGGATAGCGCTCCCTGGCCAGATTGAGGAGAATCTTTTTGGTTTTGCGCAGATAACTGGGTGAGTAGCCGGCCAGGACATTGAAGTTGAACATCCACGACGACGAGGCGGCCTTAAAGACATTGCACCTGATGGGATTTGATGGTTTTCAAGATATTAGCAAGTTAGTATATAAGGTTTTTGGAATGAGGCACCCACCATATAATGTGATACTTTTTATTGACCAAAAATTCCCACGTGTTTGGGGTGTGCCACGAGTCGTGACCTGTAAGTAAGATGGATGGATGGATAACAGGAATAAGTAATGTGCGAGCCCCGAAATGTATGCCACGGAATTTGGATTCCCCTGGAAAGCCTACCTAGGACGTCTAGGCCGTAGGCGGAGCACTTGTCCTTCAGGCGCTCCCTCCGCTGATCCATCCGCTGCTCCACCTGAAGCATTTCCTGCGGCGTGAGACTCTGCACGGCATACTCGGGTATGAGGGGCAGGAGTGTCTGGTTGCTGTCCTGCGGATGGATGTGCAAATAAACTTTTTTAGTCTCATCGAAAAAACAAAGCGGCGCAGTGGGTAGGTGGGTTATAGAAATGGGAGTGGGATCGAATCGAATGCCGTGCCCAAATGCCTGTCTGCCGATGAGACGCGCTAATGCGCAATCAATTTGGCTTTCTCTGAATTTGACTTTTGTTTACATCATTAATTATACGAGCCTGTGCTGTGAGTGTTTGGTGTATTGTGGTGTGGTATGTTGTGGTGTTTGTGTGTGGGTTACATATTTACTTTATCAACATAGCGCCACTTGTTCTTTGTCTTGCCCGTTGCCACCACGGTCAGGTCCTTGTTTTTGTTCTTGTTCAGCAGCAGCACCGGATACCGGGCTACCGGATACTGCGATTGCTGATGTTGCTGCTGCTGCTCGCGATGCTGCTGCTCCTGTTGATGCTGCTGCTGTTGCGACTGCGGCTGCTGTTGCACATTAAAGGCCTAGAAAATCAGTTGGGTTTGTTTTGGATTGGCATTCTGCGAATTCTCGGGCTGGAGTCTATGTGGGTTAGCAGGCAAGGATGACGTGGCGTATGCGTAATATACAAGCGTTGTGTCAAGGTCTCCGCCCCCGGCTTAATCTTCATCTCAGTATCTCAGTCGCTCAGTCTGAATCTCAATCGCAATCCCAATTAAAAGCCAGCCAGACGCCAGTGCCAACTGTCATGTGGAAATCCCGACATGAATCAAGTGGCAAGTAGATGCGCGGTTGCGGACAACTTGGCGCTGGCGTCGTGGCAGGCACTTTGCATTTGGCTCGCGCCACTTACAGCACTACATGGCTATACCCTCTCCGAGGGGTGAGGATGACCATTGTGACAGTGACTGTGCCAGATAAGATTAATTAATGGTTATGGAAGCGAAGCTCGCTGAATACTGATGAATTTTTTAAGAGGTACTTATAGTTAGTTTGATGTAAGCTTTTTCCTAAATTAATTGCTGAAAGTAATTACTCAAAGAGTGTACCAGATTCTTCTATACTCGCGACCTTTTGCCACCGAAAGTGGCGCTACGAGCATGACGTGAACTGTGCGGAATTCGCCTAGAGGCATGGGGATGATGTGCTGCATAGGGGCATGCCCCTTCTAACAATGTATGTTGCATGTTACTGTGCAAGTGTTTGTGAACTGCTGTGCTTAATTATGCGTGTATGCCGCGTGAAATAAAAACACACAAAAAAAAAATATAATATAACCAGCCAACTAGGCGTATGCCATTTTGGGGTGCTGCTGGCTGGGCATTTGTCATTTGGGTAATGTAATGCAAATTAGTAGTGGGTAAGTGACTATTGATTGAGGACCCAACCCCCCAGGCCTCCTAAGAATCGATATCCTCCCAGGGCAGCCCCTTTGATGACTATTTCATGATGCCACACGCAATTAAGTGTAATTTTGTGCGAAAGTTTTTTTTTCCCTCTGTTTTTTTTTGCCAGCCAAGGCCAGTTGAACGGGCGCCCAAGAGTCTTCGGAGACCACGCAACCTAAGCGGCTTAGGTCGGGCCGGGTCGAAAAGGGTTGGTCTGAGGCGTGGCTGGGGGGCGGATTATAAGCCGAGAACGCTTTGCAGGTCAGATGTGGAATATTCCGTCTTTATTCAGCATTTCAAGCACAAAGAGGCGATAAACCCGCCAAAAGCCCGCAGCTAATTTCGAATTAATTTGCACCTAATCAAGCGCTCGCTGCACACACTTAAAGCCACTCAGAAAAAAAATATGGTTGCGCTATAAAGTTTAAGCTTTATGGAAATTGGTTTCCTAACAATCATTTCTCACTGTGCCTCCCGCGGGCGAGAATTGAAGCGACAAGTGAGCACTCTCCGAAGAATGAACGCCAAACCAAAATGCTAAAATCTCTAACGACTTTGATAAATAAACAATAACAAGATGCTTTCAGTTTTCAATTTTGAATCTCAGCGTTTATCGTTTATTTATAGCGATCGTTTCGATTTGTGTGCTAATTTGTGTGTAAGTTTATTTTCACTCGAAATGCCCTTCACACCGTGCTTGTTTACATAATCAGATAGATGATTATTACGATTCCCAGCTGATCTGGGTTCTGTTCATAATTTGCAATCAGTTCTATCTGTTTTCTGTTTAATTATATGCTGATTGTTTTTTTTTATGGGCTTTGTATTGGGGTGGTTGATGGCCCGAAACTGGAACTGAGGCGGGCAATCGATGGCCTGCAATTTGTTTGTTGTCAGGCGATGTGGGGTCAGGTGGTCGGGGCAGACGGGGAGGGCGGCGGCAACTAAAAGCGTCTATATATACAGCTAACAATGCACAGAGAAAAAGAGTTAATTTCAACCTTTTTGATTAGACTTTATTTCCAAATAACATTTTTCTCTCTGCATTCGATAACAAGCGATTTGGCCAACAGATGTTGGCCGAGAAAGGGCTATGGAACTATACTATATACTACCGAGCACCGCCCACAACTACACACTACTGACTACGGTCCCCACACTTCTTCAAACACTCACCTCGAATCCCCGGATCTTCTGCAGCTGCTCGTTCCACACCAGGTAGACGAGCGAGAGGGGCAGCAGGAGCAGCGACAAGGCCGTGAAGATGAGCAAGTACCGCCGGATGGCGCGACAGTTTGCCAGGCTCTTGCTCAATTTCATTTAAACTCGATTCTAACTGCATAGGAACTGGTTGTGGGGCTTCTCTTCGGCTTCCTGGCTTCTTTCTGCTTCCTGCTATCGGATTTTGGTATTGGTTTCACGTACATATAGGTATCCTATATATATGTGTGTTTATCGGCTATTGATAGTTGTGGGGCATTTCCTGTGCGGAGCTACGCGGCCTGCAGTTGGCGACAAATTTTGTAAGTGCTGCTGCTCATCGTTGTAGTCGACGTCGGGCTGGCTAAATTTAGTCTGCTGTGCTAAATGTTCTTAATAAAAAAAAAAAGATAAATGAGCGGAAACCGAAAATATATTGAGTGGGCTTGGTGGTCGGCAGTCCTCCACTACTTTATGGCTATATGGCTAAAAATTGTGTCACTGCAGGCAGTTCGATATTGTCCACGACGAACAATTGCTTTTGTTCGAGCCGGGGGTGTGTGTGATTGTTTTTTGTTAGCCAGATTTTGTTTCTGGTTGCAGGCCAGGAAGCGCCGAGGCCAAGGCAAAAAGGGGAAGTCAAGTCGTTTATTGATTTTCTGCTCAACTCCAAACTCCTGTCTCCGCAGCCAGTGCAACTTGAGGTGGCACGAAGGCCGTCCATGTACTTTTTATGGCTTTTGTTTTAGGAAACTTCTTTAATTCACATTGGCACTGTTTATGCAATTAATTTAATAAAAAAAAATAAAACGGTATTGTTATTTGCACTTTGCGTGGCTTTATTATTTGATTATTATTTTTTAGATTCCATTCACATACACGCTGCTGCCACCAAACTTGGCAAACAAATGGCAGGTCAAATGTTGGCCCAAGAGGCGTATACGTAACGTGCTGGGCTCCTCCTCTCTCGTCTCGGCGTATCTCGTCTCGTTGCTCTTCTCTTTTCATAACAAAAAAGGAAAACAGACGGGCTAATGGAGGGCCACTTTTTAGTTTTTTGTTGCCATTCAATTGTTTGCCAATTGAGGAGAAAAGCGCGCAATCAATATCAATTTGCAAAGCGTGCTGTGATTATTTTCAGCTGTTCTCCCTTTTTGCCGCCCAGCCGCCACCCTTTCCTCCCCCAAAAAGGATGCAATAGGGTGAACCCCACAAAACCCGAGGGGAAGTGGGGGAGAAGTCACCATCACCAAGCACCAACTCCGTTACGTTACGTTACCGTTCCGTCATCACCGCACAACGCACGTTTCCCGAATGAAATCAAATGCGAAATGAGCGCACAGCCCAGTGGGCAGAGCTGCTGGCCGAGGCCGCGGCGCTGGCAGCGCAGTTTCAATTTCATTTCGCCAGTTTGCATGCCGCCGCTTGGCTATTTAATTCTTTGTGTTTTGTGTTCTCCGGGAGCGCATGCGATTCCTTGAGCTTTGTTTGGCGCTTCTTTACCTGTGTTTGCTGCTATGGGGGTTGTTGTGCCACCTTTGATTTGTTTATCGGAGAGCGGGAGGCACTGCTTTCTGGGTTAACCTGGCAGACAAGACAACAACTTTTGTTTATTGCTGAGCGAAAGAGCCGGCAACGGTAATTTGGGGAGCTCTGAGTCGAGAGCGCCAAAGTGCGCAGAGAGAGAGAGTGTGGGTTTGCCGAGAAAGGTTTGCTGTCAGGGCTCAGAGGGTGGTTTAAGAAGTTTCTACAAAACGTATACCACACATTAAAAAGCCATCACTGAGCTAAGATATTATTTTAAAATTGTTATAAAAATATTTTTCTATTTGCCAAAACATTATTCAACATTTCAAAGTGTATACAAAAATTTACTAATCCATAGATTGCTTCGAGAGGTATTAAGTAAATGCAGACATTAAAGGCATCTTGCAGTGGCTCCATCAACTGTCAGTACTTGATCAGGGAATGTACTTTGCCGTCCAGCCTCTTGCGACCCTCCAATCCAACCAGTTCTATCACCACCAGACTCTCCACGACAACACCTCCGACTTTGCGGACCAGCTCCGCGGCGGCTGCCAGGGATCCTCCCGTGGCCAGGAGATCATCCACGACTACGACCTTCTGACCAGGCTGGATGGCTGACCGTTGAATCTCAAAGGTGTCCTGGAAACACAAACATTTTAAGTTAATTTCTAAACAAAGTTTTTGTGTTGCAAAACATACACTTCCGTACTCCAGTTTGTACTCCACAGACACCACCTCACCGGCCAGCTTGCCCTTCTTCCGGATAGGAGCACAGCCCACGCCCAGTTCGGTGGCCAGGAGCAGGTTGAAGAGGAAGCCCCGAGAGTCCAGGCCCACGATAATCTCAGCTTCGGGAGAGCTCTGACGGATGTGCTCCACCAGCAGGTCTCTCAAGTAGACACAGGCCTTGGCATCGGTGAGTGCTCCAAAAATGTCGCTGTTTTACATGGAATTGAAGAGCAGAACACATTAACAACCTGATAAGCCACCAGTCGTATGGCCATAAATGTGTTCCAGTACTCAATCGGGTGCGATAACCCCTGGCGATAACCTACCGGAACAGAATGCCCTCCTTGGGGAAGTTTGGATATTCTCCTATCTTGGACTTGACATAGTCGAGCTTCTCTTCCGCGCTGATTGGGCTCATCTCTACGGGTGTTTGGTGGGCTCCAATTTAATCTAATTGTAAGGGAATTTTCAGAAAAGGTGAAACCGTACGTGAGTGCGTGCCGAACTAGCGGATTGATAAAGGGAACAGCTGATAGGCCAGCTGCTCATACGCCGTGGTGGTTGCTGCGGATGAGCGATATTTTAGCGATGAATTTTCGTGCCGAGTGAGTTCGGCGGTAGATTTAAATATCTGACGAGGCTGAGATAGGGCAACAACTAAACTGATAAATCAAATAAATGATTGTAGATTTACAAGATAATTTGCATTTATCTGTGAGTTCTAGATGTTCTTAATATCATGAATGACTTTAGATAATGAATTGCATTTAAAATATGAGTTTCTACCTGCTTTCAGGGATATCTACCTCACATTTTCCCAGATTTAAGCCAATATTTATCTTGTCATTGTGTTGCTCAAAGAAGGCGATAAAGGAATTTGGTCATATCCTGCAGGTAGCCGAGAAAACCCTCCCCCGATCTGTCTATCTCTTCCGCATCTCGGTGATTGCTGGAGAAATTTCAGCAAGCAATTCTTCTGGGGAAAGACATACGTTGCTGCATTATTTATCATCAGGCAGCCAGACAAAACGATCGAAAAGAAATGCCAACAATTTGCGCTGCACTTATCAAAGGCGGGCCTACATCTGGCACTCTCTCCGCGTCGAGCCCTCTCTTTCACTTGCTCACAGATACAGGTAAGCCCCAGGTAAGTGTTGTACCTGTGTATCTGTTTCTTCGGACTCCGGAGACGAGAAACGCTCAGTTTGTTCTTCAGCGCCGATCGCGACGGTTCAGTTTCTTCTCGCACCGAGGTACCGGATCGTAGTCTCAGACCGCGACTTTTTCAATAATTAATGCAAAAAACACACGTCAAACAAAGCAACAAATTGAAATAACAAATATTATAAAGAAATATACACGTCCAGTTAACACCGAAACCTGTTCTCGGCCACTGTAAGATTTGGTTTTGCAAAGCAACTCTTCAGATTCAATTCGATCTTAACGGCAAAAGTAAATGTCAGCCAAAGGTGCCGACAAAACTGCGCCCCGATTGCCATTTCAAGAGTCGAAGAACCCCAATAACCAAAGTAACCATATCTCAGCAACAACCATTGCAGCTAGCAGGCGACATAAAATCGTGAAAACCCACAAAAAATTGAAAAATATACAACATTAGACACAGCAGCACCAATATTGCAAAGTGCAGAAACATTCACATCGCACACACAGATACTGTGGAACCTCCAACACACATATGTGTGTATCTGAATACGTGCGTATTGAATGTGCAACACAAGCAACAACAACTGCTGCAACTGCATCTGCAACAACAATTGCTGAAGCGGCAGAAACCGCGCGCCCGGGTAACGTGAAAAACCAGAAAGAGGCACAGTTTTTTTGTTTTTCTGTTGGTTTTGTTGCACTTTTTTGTTTTTTTTTATTATTTTGAGGCAAGCGAGCTGGAGGCATCTCGGAGCTGGAGCTCTGCGCAGGCGCAGTGGCGCCCTTCGTGGTGAAGGGCATGGAAATAGGGCGTTCAAAAGAAGTAAAAAGGGAAATTCACTTACGGGTAAATGTGAAAAGTTGGAGCAGAAAGGAGAAATCCAGATGGCACCCTCTCATATTACCAGTTCTTCAAAACAAAAGCAGACTTTTGTCAAGAACTGGGCGGTCTGTTTCAGATTCTCTGAAAACCAAACATTACCGTAAAAAATTACAATTACTAGAAACCTGAAACTGGATTTTCAGTAGAACCCTTTGGGGCGCTCCTGACTTTCCTGGCCGGAAACCCGAGTGAAGAATCGCGGTGTGAGTTACTATTATGTAGAGACCTCCATTGTCGTCGCTGGGCCTCGTCTTGGTCGGGGCTATGGTATGCGCGAATGTTTGCTAACATCCAAATCGTGATCTAATAAAAAACGTAGGAAAACAGAGACACATACCTCGGGCCCACGGGCCCGCCGATTCAGTGAGTGAGCGGACCAGCTTGGATTGGCTCTTCAAAGCCGAGGCCTCTTCAAAGGGGCCGTGTGGATGCCACCAGCTTTCGCGAAAAAACTGCGGACTGAAAAGCGGACTTCTCCCAAGATGGATGGCGGCTGTAAAGGCTGTCAATACATTGAATAACTGACCGCAAAAAATAAATAAGAAACAACTTTTGCCGGTTCGCCTTGTCTGGATTCCCGTTCCGTTTTGGGGGAACTGCGAAAAAAAGAAATCATCTGCCCCGAACGATCATCGCCATAAAAAATAAAACCCAGGCGAAACCCATGAAGAAATGGTCGGACCGACAAAAATTCAAAAGAAAACACGGCCCAACAGCCACTTTTAAAGTCATTTCCGCATAATTCTGAAATGAAGGAACCAGTTTCTACTATGGTGGTGGCTGAAAAATTTAGCAACCGACAGTTGCTGTAGTTTTTGGAGCCACTACGAACGTGTTTGCGCCAAAAGTGTGGTGTCTTCAACATGTTTTAGGTTCCACATTGTTGGCCAAAACAAAACACAACAAGCCACTTACAAGACTTCCCGATCGCCAAGCGGAACAATGAAAGCTTCTCCCTCCGCTTAGCCGTAATTAGCCGCCTCGAGCTGCGGGAAAAAGCCGAAAATGTGAAAATTAATTGCAAGTGCGTGGCCAATTGGGCTGGGTGTCGGTTTTGGGGGCTGTGGGGGCCAAACCCCGCAGTCACAGACACCGTATTCTCACCTCTTACCCCTGCTCACTAACTGCTTGGCCGTCTAATGTGAAATTTATGTTTATGCCGTGCGCTGTAAAGTAGAAAGTCATCTGACGCTCAGACACAGACTCAGGGTATCCCCTGGGCAGTAGTCGAGAAAGAAAGCCTGATCCCCGCCAGATTTTGGCAACTGCAGTAGCAATTGCCACGTTTAAGTTATAGCCATTACCCAACTGACCTTATTTCGTTCGTTTTTCATACGAATATGTGCATTCTTAGCTTCGAAATAATATAAAGTGCTGAGCCAGCCGTTCGTTTAAGTTTGGTTTTTTAGCCTTGCACTGTCAAAAAAACTGAGGTCGAATAACAATGGTTGGGTGAAGAGTTGAACCCCTAAAAT